TTATGGATCCCGGGAATTAAAACCTTTTGCAAACATTTTAGAAACCATAATATATATAATTTTACATCTCATATAAAATATACTTTGCAAAACAAATCTCAACGATTGAAATCGACTGCCGGCAGTCTTGGTTTTCATCAGTGAGAGTGCATCCCCGATCATTACCTTTGTCCGACAAAGGGGCTGATTCGGTCACTATGATCACCCACTCAGATGAATTCTCAGACTGTCCCAACATACCCAGGTTTTGACCCCCACTAAGGATCTCACTGATGTGTACATCAAAGATAGCCCAATCCGACACCCAATGCTGTATTATAATCGAGTCTAGGGGTCGGGTGTAACTTTCCAGTTTTGCCCATTAATCTCCAAGGTCCAGGGCAATACTGGAAATCTGGTCTAGTTCAAAGATTCAATTAATCATACACTGTATGTGCCTAGGGTCTCACCCTGGTACCTGAGACAGGCCACCCCAACCGACTTGGTGGCACAATAGTGTCAGCCTTATCTGGATAGGTCTCCCTAGACTGACCCACTGGCTGTGAACATTCTAAACTAACACGAGTCTCATTAAGTGTGCAGTTTAAGGGTATTACACAGAAACATACTAAGGGAACATGAATCAAATATGCACTTTTATTCATTTACAATAAACTCATAAAGTACATCATTCTGATTGAAGCTAAGGGCATACAAAACTGTCCAACATGGATAAGACTTATCTTATCCTTTAGCTATTCCTAATCAGGTTATAAATCAAATTTTGTCCCCTTTTAATTAACTAATTTAAGTGTAATTCGTAATGAGCTTTAGGCCCATTAAGTCACATAGCTCACTTACCCTTTAATCTGCTGGCTAACTTGGCTCTCTTTGTATGGCGTGGGACCCTAACATCGATCTACACATCAGCCACATGGGTTCAGCCCAGCCTCTGTTACAAGGCCTGGCCAAATTCACTATATGACACAGTGAACCCCTGAGTCAATCACCATGGTCTCTCAATGGGCCCAATATTTACACTAAATGGTCCTTGAGTCCAATCACCATATGAAAACCCAAGTACTGTGGGTAGATGCAAGATTATCCTATCAGGTATTACCCTCAATTGTCTTACACTTAACCTCCCAACCCTTAATGATCAAACACTACCCGACAAGAGATGACCTCTTCCTCAACTACAAGGTACAATGCTACACTCTCTGCTCACATGGATCCCGAGAATTAAAACCTTTTGCAAACAATTTGAAGCCATAATATATAAGTATATTTCTATATAAATATATTTTGCATAACCAAATTTCAAACACATTTGAAATCCACTATCGACAATTAAGGTTTCCATCAGAGAGAGTGCATTCCCCAATCATTCACTTTGTCCAATAAAGGAGCTGATCCTGTCACTATGATCACCCATTTAGATGAATTCTTGGACTGTCCCAACATACCCAGGTTTTGACCCCTGGTGTGCTGTCGTAGGCACCCAAAAATAAAACCAATACTCATAAAAATAAAATGCAGTAGTGCGAGTAAGGATCGTTCCCACAGAGAGTATCTAACCAAAATTATGTGCTACGTGAATCAAAGATGGAGGGGGGTGTATGTAACGAAAACCAGAATTAAAAGAAAGAAAAAAAACAAAATTAAAAAGAACAAAATTTAAATGGGAAGCAAGGCAATTTAGAGTGCGGAATCTTACTAAAAGAACGAATCTTGGTGTAGGATCAGACCATAATGATTAGTAACTGTGAAATCGCAGATTTCCTGCGCCAATCAAGATTTCGATCTCCATTTGTACGAACAACCCATAAATCAAGAAAATAATAAAGAATAGTTCTAAATAAATTCCAGATTTATAAAAATTAATTTCAGATCATTCACCCTTTAACTGGGAACCGATTTCCTAGAAAAACCCTAATCTGCGCAAATCGGGTAGAACGTCTTCTGCCCATTTGCGCAGGTTCAGATCTAGTCAATTTCGGTTCAAGATTTGAACCTGGCTCTGATACCACTGAAGGGATGTGAGATCCATCATATGGATGGCCTAACCCTGTAGGAAGGTAGGGTGAAATTTCAAAAATTTCTCTGTCTCCCATCTGGGAATCACATTCCCTGTTTTAGAAAAACTACATTTTTCAAGGATCATTCTTCAACCAAGAACCAAACCAAATCTGAACCAAAATAGTAGGAGAGGGATATACCTAATATGAAGAAATAATATCTTCCAATGGAGGTGTTCACGCCCAAGGAAGGATCCAAAGACTGCTCCCGCTAAAGATGACACAGTGTAGGGTGGAGCAGGATCAGTAGTGTTCTTCCAAAGAACCAAATCCTTCACCAAGAATTTGCTGGAGGGTAGGTGAGCACGACTCCCAATCAATTTTTCACCAAAAACTGATATCAATAATGCTTCTTGATTGCTCCTATAATAATGGAGGTCGAACTGGCTATGGCGGCAACTGGAGGAGAACATAGGGAGAAGATGGCACAGTCACACTATTGTTGTCTGAGGGATCTGAGATCTGATTTGTGGATGCTGGGATGGGCTGAATGGTTCGCCCCCTCCTCCTTTTATAGCCTTAAGAGAGCTCCTAATCTCATTAGGAGTTTCCTAATCCAAATCTGTATTTATATAAGGAGTTCTCTTTAAAAGATAAGGATAAGACCTTATCTTATCTGCAGACTAGATCAGCTCTCTCCTAATCTCATTAGGAGGTTTCTAGATCCAAATCTGTATTCACCCATGTGGCTGATGTGTGGATAGGGTAAGACCCTATTCTATATGCTGATCCAATCTCAGATCTGCCCCTCTCTTTAATTAGTCGAACTAAACTAGTTTGAAATGGGCTTTAGGCCCAATAAATCTGTGTGCTCATTAACCTACCAAACTGCTGCCCAGTTGGGCTTCTTTGTATGGCGTGGAACCCAAATATTGATCTACACATCAGCCACATGGGTTCAGCCCAGCCTCTATTACAAGGCCTAGCCAAATTCACTGAAAAGACAATGAACCCCCTGAAGCCCATCACATGGACTTTTAATGGGCCCAACACTTACACTAAGTGGTCCCTGAGCCAAGCCACCTTATAAAAACCTAGGGACTGTGGGCAGCCCATAATGATCAAACACTACTTGACAAGGTGTAACATTCTAGTTCTGCCCACTAATCACCAAGGTCCAGGGCAATATTGGAAATCTGGTCCGATTCAGGGTTTCAAGTAAACTTACATTGCATGTACCTCGGGTCTCACCCTGGCAGCTGAGACATGCTACCCCAACACTTGGCGGCACATCAATGTCAGACTTGGTAGGATAAATCTCCCCAGACTTATCCAACGGCTGTGAACATTCTAAACTAACACGAGAACATCCTCAACTACACCCTTAGGACAAGCATTAGATTTATCAGCTAATTGAATCACAACACCAGTTTTATTTAAAGGTCCAAGTTTCAAAGAAGCATATATAGAATATGGCATGACATTAATGGAAGCTCCTAAGTCTAACATGGCCTTCTCAATTCTAGTGTTACCTATCATGCAAGGGATAGTGAACATACCTGGATCCTTGCACTTTGTAGGGAGTTTTTTTTGAATAACTGCAAAAACATTCTCCCTTACTCTCACCTTTTCACATCCTTTTAGTTTCAGTCTCCTCCTGTGTGTACACAATTCTTTCAGAAATTTAGCATAACGAGGTACTTGTTTAATAGCATCTAAGAGTGGAATGTTTACCTCGCATCTACGGAAGGTTTCATAGAATTCTTTGAACTGATTTTCTTTTTGAGATCCTGCTAAAGCATTAGGAAAAGGAGGTACCGGTTTATAATCAGAAAGAGGAGGAAACTTGTGCTTGGGTACTTCATCGTCCTTGGGAACGATGTCTTTCTCCTTTCCTTGATTCGACAATGCGGGGATTGCCCTTGCTGGGGCCTCAACCTCTTACCGCTTCTCAAAACGATCACACTTGCATTTTCTTTCGGGTTCACAATCGGTTGAGAAGGTAATTTCTCTGAACTTTGCGCCTCTAACCGATTAATTGCGGTCGCCATTTGGCTCATCTGATTTTCTAAACATTGGATACTGGCCCTTGTCTCCTGCGGAAACTGCAAAGTGTTAGTGGCAAGAGATTTGACAATATCCTCTAAAGACATACTTGAATTAGAAGTTTGGGCTGGCTGCTGTCTAGGGGGGTGCGACTAATATGGCTGAAAAGTTTGGCGGTTTTGTGGACTCCCATAGCTGAGATTGGGGTGATCCCTCCATCCCGGATTAGACGTGCTCGAATAAGGATCATATTTCCTTTGCGGTTGCCCTGGAAAACCACCTGCCGCATTTACTTGTTCGATGGGCTCCTCTTGAAGAGTTGGGCACATATCCGTTGGATGCCCTACTGTCGAACATATCCCACAAGCCTTCACCATTTGCATATTACCTGCAGCCATTTGATGAACAAGAGAGGTCAGACTTGCAATTTGTTGTTCTAGGGAAGAGATATTTACCTCATTAGCATGCCTTGGTGGAGGGCTAAGCCTATAGCCGAATTGCTGAGAATTGACCGCCATATTTGCAATCAGATTTCTCGCAGCCTTGGGAGTTTTATCTACTAAAGCCCCTTCACTAGCAGCATCGATCATGCTCCTATCAGTTGGTTGAAGTCCCTTATAAAAATACTGAATAAGTAGTTGTTCACTGATTTGATGATGGGGACAGCTTGCACATAATTTTTTAAAGCGTTCCCAGTATTCATGTAGGGACTCCCTGTTGTATTGCCTTATACCGCAGATTTCTTTTCTGATATTGGCCACCCTTGAAGCTGGGAAGTACTTTTCTAGGAATAGCCTCTTCATCTTGTTCCATGTGGTAACACTCCCAGAAGGTAGATAATAGAGCCAATCCTTAGCCGAATCCTTCAAAGAAAATGGGAAGTCTCTCAATTTGATTTGCTTACCCCCATGGGTTTCATGCTCGTGCATACCACATGCAGCTCCTTCAAGTGCTTGTGAGGATTCTCACCTGCAAGACCATGAAAAATGGGTAAGAGATGTATCAATCCAGATTTTAATTCAAAATTAACATCAGCATCTAAAGCAAGAAAAGTTATGCATAAGGATTGCTGATTTAAATCAAGTGCGACAAGCTCTTTCAATGTTTGATTTCCGGCCATGATGTCCTCTCCTCTCAAATCAGATCCGCTAACAGATAGAGAATCGAAGGCTGGATTGTTCTCCTCGGGATCGTTCTCTGCACAAAGTCCCTTCTATTTCTGGATCGAACTGCAAATTACCTTTCTTAGAGAATCGGGTTACAAGCATAAATTGAGGAAAACCTAATAAACCCTAAATGACATACCATAAAACAAATAAAAAAAAATAAAAAAAAATCTAGAACGATTAAATAAATAGATAAATGAACAAAACAGAAAATAATCTATTCTAAAACACAAACAATCAAAGTGATCCATAGAAAAAAAAGGAAATTTTTTTTTATGTTTTTTTCAAAAATTTCAAGAACTAAATAATGATCACGAGAAGTACAAAACTGATTAGAAAAACTCCCCGGCAACGGCGCCAAAATTTGGCGTGCTGTCATAGGCACCCAAAAATAAAACCAATACTCATAAAAATAAAATGCAGTAGTGCGAGTAAGGATCGCTCCCTTAGAAAGTATCTAACCTAAATTATGTGCTACGTGAATCAAAGATGGAGGGGGGTGTATGTAACGAAAACCAGAATTAAAAGAAAGAATAAAACAGAATTAAAAAGAACAAAGTTTAAATGGGAAGCAAGGCAATTTAGAGTGTTGAATCAAACCAAAAGAACGAATCTTGGTCTAGGATAACATCCACCATCAGAATTTCACTACTGCTCATCGATGGACATTCGATATCCAAAGCATGAATTAAACAATAAAAACCAAATTAGATCTCACAGTTTGGTGGATTCTGAGGCTTCTGCTTCCTTTGACGAAGTACAAGAGTTTAGCCACGCATGGTCATGGCGAAAACTCCAAAAAAATCAGAGAATGAAGAAGAGGGGTGGAGAGAAGAGAAGAGAAGAGAAGAGAAGAGAAGAGAGGTTCGGCTGCTCCCAATCTGCTTGCCTTCTCTCTAGGTTTTTCATGTTATATTGGTGTGTTTCGGTGTAATACCCTTAAACTAGACACTTATGAGACTCGTGTTAGTTTAGAATCTTTATAGCCGTTGGATAGATCTGGGGAGATTTATTCTACCAAGGCAGACATTGATATGCCGCCAAGTAGGTTGGGGTAGCTTGTTTTAGCTACCATGGTGAGACCTGAGGTACATGAAATGTGGGTTTTCTTGAAACCCTAAACCAGACCAAATTCCAGTATTGCCCTAAACTCGATTATGGTACTACACTAGGTGTCAAATTGGGTTGTCTTTAATATGCCAATTAGTGAGATCCTTAGAGGGGGTCAAAACTGGAAAGTTACATATAGGCAAAACTGGAAAGTTACACCTGACCCCTCGACTCGATTATGGTACTGCACTAGGTGTCAGATTGGGCTGTCTTTGATATGCCAATCGGTGAGATCCTTAGAGGGGGTCAAAACCTGGGTATGTTGAGGCAGTGAGTTCACCTGAGTGGGTGATCATAGTGATAGTATCAGCCCCTTTGTCGGACAAAGTGAATGATCGAGGAATGCACTATCTCTGATGGAAATCTAAACTACCAGCACTTGATTTCAAATTGTTGAGATTTGATTTTTGCAAAATATATTTATATAGAGATATACATATATATTATGATTTCATAAAATGTTTGGAAAAAGATTTTAATTCCCGGGATCCATTTGAGAAGAGAGTGCAACACTATACCTTGCAGCTGAGGGAGAGGTCCTCCTTTGTCGGGCAGTGTATGATCATTAAGGGCTGAGAGGTTAAGTGTAAGACCATTTAGGGATAATAAACCTGATGGGCTAATCTCACATCTGCCCACGATCCTTGAGCCTTCATAAGATGGCTAAACCCAAGGACCATTTAGTGTAAATGTTGGGCCCATTAAGAGCCTATACCGATGGACTCAGGGGTTCAGCAGTGAATTCGGCCATGCTTTGTAATAGAGGATAGGTTGAACCCATGTGGCTTATGTGGAGATCAATGATAGGGTCCCACACCATACAAAGAGAGCCAAACTAGCCAGCATTAAAGGAAGTAAACCTGAAATCTTAATGGGCCTAAAGCCCATTTCAAACTGGGTTAATTGGAAAAATTAAATGGGGGAGAATTTGTGTATGGATAAATAAATAAGGATAAGAGGATAAGCCTTATCCACTAAAAGAGTCTAGATTCAAATAAAGATTTGGATCAAGAAACTCCTAATCAGATTAAGAGATTAACTCTTTAAGGTCTATATAAAGAGGAGGGTGAAATGGAATAATATACACAATTTGACTGAGTTTTCTTCATTCAGTTCTCTCTCTCTCTATTCTTGCCACCCTACCATGTTCGATCTCCACCTCTTGGAGTGATCAAGATTGGATCTTGATATTATTTCTAGGTGTAAGAAAACAATCTTGAAGTTGTGTTCACATCCCTACAAAATTCTTGCTAAAGAATTGGGGTTCTTACTGAAGAATCCACTTGCTGAACCTGCCTCACCCTAAGCTGTGTCATCTTCCCTGGAGGAACAATTTGGTACCCTCTTTGAGTGTGAACACCTATTTTGAGAGGAGCTTTTCGCGTGGATTCCATATTAGGTATTCTTTTCCCTAATCTTGGTTTCAGATTTGGTCCATATTTGTTTCAAGAATGAAACTTGAAAAATGCAGTTTTTCTAAATCAGGGAATAGGATTCACAGATGGGAGAAGAAAATTTTTGAAATTTCGCCCAGCCTATTGGACAGTTTTTGTATGCCCTTAGCTTCAATCAATCTTGATGTACTTTTGATATTTAATGTAAATAAATAAAGTACATGTTTGATTCATGTTGTGTGGTATGCTTCTGTGTAAGACCCTAAAACTAGACACTTAATGAGACTTGTGTTAGTTTTAAATGTTCACAGCCATTGGATAAGTCTGGGGAGATTTATCCTACTAAGGCTGACACTGGTGTGCTGCTAACTATTGGGGTGGCTTGTCTTAGCCGCCAGGGGGAGACCCAAGGCACACGCAATATAGGATTACTTGAATCCTCGAACCGTACCAGATTTCCAGTGTTGCCCTGGACCTTGGAGATTGATGGGCAAAACTAGAAAGTTACACCTAACCCCTAGACTCGATTATGGTACTGCACTAGGTGTCAGATCGGGCTGTCTTTGATATGCCAATCAGTGAGATCCTTAGCGAGGGTCAAAACTTGGGTATGTTGGGACACTCTGAGAATTCATCTGAGTGGGTGACCATAGTGACAGGACCAGCCCCTTTGTCGAACAATTGTAATGATCGGGTTTGATGAAAACCAAACTGCCGGAAGTTGATTTCAATCGTTGGAATTTTGTTTTGCAAAATTTATATATATGATATATATTTTTGTATGGTTTCAAAATGTTTGCAAATGGTTTTAATTCCCGAGATCCATGTGAGTAGAGTGCAGCACTGTTCCTTGCAGCTGAGGGATAGGTCCTCTCTTGTCGGGCAGTGCTTGATCATTATGGGCTGAGAGGTTAAGTGTAAGGCCATTTAGGATAATATCTAATGGGCTAATCTTGCATCTGCCCACAGTCCCTGGGTTTTTATAAGATGGCTTGGCCCAGGGACCACTTAGTGTAAGTGTTGGGCCCATAGGGTCCATGTGATGGGCTCARGGGGTTCACTGGGCTTTCTAGTGAATTCGGCTAGGCCTTGTAACAGAGGTTGGGCCGAACCCATGTGGCTGGTGTGTAGATCAATGCTTGGGTCCCACGCCATACAAAGAAGCCCAACTGGGCAACAGTTTGGAAGACTTTTGAGCACTTATTACTTAATGGGCCTAAAGCCCATTTCGATCTAGGCTGATTTGATCAATCAATTAAGGGGGCGGATCTGAGATTAGGATGAGCCCTAAAGCTAACCTAATTTGTAGATAAGATTAAGAAGAGTCATAATCCAAATACATATTTGGATAAGGGCAACTCTTGATATGATTAGGAGGTTTTCTTAATCATTAAGAAAGATGAGGAAAGACCCTAATTCGAATTACCTGAATTCGAACCCTAGGACTTTTCAGCAGACATCTCTGCATTCTTGAGATAGGATCTCAGAAACCCTAGAGAAGAAAATAGCAGTTCGCCACCTTCTTCTCTAGCATTCTCCTGTACCAGCAGCCGCCACCCTTTTTCTGCCAGTTCGACTTGATCAAGAAATGTTCTCGATTGTTCGTGTGGTGCTCATTGTTTCTAGAGGATTCTTGTGAAGGATTCAGCGCGTAGGACACACTCTGCTGGTTCTGTTCCATAGTTATTGTGTCATCTTCAGCAGGAGCAGATCTTGGTGTCTTCTTTGGGCGTGAACACCAACTTTGGGAGATATCACTTCTCTGGATCAGGTATAATCCCTCCTTTGTCTTTTGGTTTCAGATCTGGTTCGGTTCTGTTTCAAGTAGGATCCTTGAATTTTAATTCTAAATCAGGGAATACGATTCCTAGTTGGAAGAAGGGTAGGAAATTTTTTGAAATTCTCCCACCCATTCCGCAACAGTTTTGGCATCCATACGATGGATCCTACCCTACCTTTTAGTGGTATCAGAGCCACAGGTTCGAATCTTGAATCAAAACATCAAATCTGAACCAGCGCAATTCTGTAGAAGTTGTTCTATCCGGATATTGCACAGTTAGCTATTTTTATTTCAAGAAACTGTTTCTTGTTGAGGGCGATTGATCTGAAATTAGTTTTGTTAAATCTGAAATTTATTTAGAATTGTTCTTTATTTATTTCTTGATTTAATGGACTGTTCGTACATGGAGATCGAAGTGCAGCCTTGGCGTAGATTGTCTGTGCATTCTTTCTTTGTAATTTCTATTTAATTTGGTCTGTAAAATATTTTTTTTTTTATTTTTCTAGACTGAATGTATAGGATTCAATCAAGGATGTAGTTAATTAATAGAAATAGGATTTCTATTTTTTTACTTCATTTTCTAGATTGAAGAAGGCGGCGGCACTGGAGATTTTCAGATGGAGGGATCGCATTCTGCGTTTTGTAGTTTATGAAACTGCAACCCTGATGA